AACTACAGAGGCGTTGTTTCCCTTCTTGTATTCAAACAGCATTACGTGACGAATGTGCATCTCGTCGTATGCCATCACTATAAAGGATTAGAGTATACTAAACTTTACACATTTTATAGGCTACACTAACGTAAGGTTTAGGCGGTTCGTTTAACTATTATACGTGATCTACGTTTTTTGGGGGATGGTTAATGAAAGTGTTCCGAAACGCGACATAAATTTCTTGACGACCTAATATTATACTTTCCTACCGTAAACAAATCTGGTCAGTAGATGCTTTAAATAAAATTGATAATAACTAAAATTCACACGCTTAATTTGATTCACATCATAGCAGTTGTTGATGATGTATTTACAGTGTCTAACCACTACTTTGTCTGTCGTATTCCAGTCAGCCTTGATGTTATGCGAAAGGCTTCGTTGGCACTGGATATGGCAGATGCAGAGTGGTTGACAAATTATCACAAAGTATTTTAGTTTGCTTTCACATCTTGGGTTCTTAGAAGTAGTACAGTACCATCTCATGTAGTTATGACATCAACTGACTCGAGTGCGGTAACATTAACATGTTATATCGACGGTATAATCTTGTTTTGTATATTTCTTGTTTTTAATCAATTTTTTTTATATCTCAATCTTAATATACTTTGTTTGTCGTTAAGTGCAAAGCTACACAACGGGCTATCTGTGCTGTGCCTACAGCAAGTATCGAAACCCAATTTTTGGCGTTATAAACTTAGTATACCAATACTATCTCACTACGACATCACATTCCTTTTTTGTATAAACTAATACAAAGATTATTAATATTTTGACTGCACAAAACAATTAAAGGGTAATCAAAAATTATAATTTTATATGTATGAGAACTCAAAACTACTGTTTTGTAATAATACCAATCGTACGCCTCAGCTCATTCCTGTGCAGATTAGACAACCGAAGGTTAATCATGTACCTAAGATACATGTTATTAGTATACATTAATCAAATGTTATATATAATAGCTCAGACAAGCTTCTCTCATTTGTCACTTCAAAGCAACTCACAGAGTTGATATGTTCAAATTGTTCGTGAACTAAGAATAGCTTTTAAAAAATACATTGTCTTTATACATTCAATTTATAATGTATCATGGTTAGTACAACAATATTCCATACACCCCTTGTCTGATATACCAAGATTAGTACAATATTATCTCGCATATCATCATGATATCATACTATCAGTTTCAGTACATAATACTATCGTTTGCATAGCGTGTTTAGTATACCACTGGTAATACATGTTACCTCATTTATCTTTTGTTTACTATGTTAATGGTAATACAATATTACTTATGAAGAGGGCTAACGGATAAATTAAAAACCGATCATTCACAGCAGAAGGAGTCAAATTGTTTTTAGCAGAATGTGAAACTATATCCGAGTCAATAGCACATCTGTTCGAACATCTGGACAAAGGCAAACTATCACTCGCAGCATAAACTGCAATTGTATGTGCTTGGATACTGTATCAAGTATTCGCATCCGCAACTGGACATTGTGTCAGTGTATCAACACCTATAAATAGACTTCACATGGTCGACTTGTATGTTAGACGCTACAAAGTGCATTTTTACAGTTTAGTCACTGCTCACCCTAGAGCCAGCTAACATGCTTTACTTATTTTGAGAGAATCTGAAACCGGTTTTATTCTTGTTTTTATACAGAAGCGCATATGGTGGTGGCTCAAGTACGGTGCGAGCAGGACGAAAGACTGGTATAATTACTGACCTCTACATTTTGCAGAAGGATATTATTAATAACAGGTACCAGGTTATAGGTACCATATTCTACGACTTTTTGGACTATAATATACTACTGTATCCTCTAACTTCAGTCCGATTCATTTAACGCTGACTTATAACATGCTAAAGTGGTTGCATATTTCTTTGAAGATAATGAGAGTTGGTCATACAAACTGACCTGCACGTGTAGCAGACTTTAGTTTTATTAAGAGCCTGACGGATGCTCTTGGGAAACACGTCGGAACCCGCTCAGTGACTCCAGATAGGAGAACTCTTTCAGAAGGAAGTAATTAAGGATATCCCAAGCTCCTATTAACACTTTGAATTTAAGGAAATAACATTAGGACTAAACTACCCTCTCTATTCGTGACGACCATAATCCTTTATAAGGAATTAGAGTATACTAAACTTTACACATTATATAGGCTACATTAATGTGACGTTTAGGTGGTTCGTTTAACTACTATACGTGATCTACGTTGTTGTTGTTGTTTTTTAAGGGAGGGGGGTTAATGAAAGGGTTCCAAAACGCGACATTAATTTCTTGACGATCTAATATTATACTTTCCTACCGTCAACAAATGAAATGTAATACATTTCGAAGATATAAAGCCACCTCTATCAAATGTTCGTTTAACAGCGGAGGTTGGATGTCAAATCAGTTGCATTTCAGATCACATGATGGATCATAAGATTTTTGATTTGCACAGAGGGGATAATTGACGTTATTTTATATAATAGATTTTAACCTCTATAGCTAAAATGGTTCATATATTGTATACCCCGTGTTTAATACACGGATACAACCATGGTTTTCTTTGTTTAACGCATGCCTAGTAAACCGAATCCAGTGCAATATTGTAACATTTGTCCAATTTTAGCCTATCAATGCTAGTACAGTACTACCTTATATTTCCTGTACTTAATGTATGAATACTGGTACAATGTTATCTAAATATATTCTATACTAAATATATTGATTGAGTATAATATTTAATTTTTATATATCTTGTATAGTAGACTTCTTTATTTAGGGCTCGATATTAATAAAGTTAGTTCAATATGTTCTAATCTCTTATATTATTTTATTTATGCTAGCATATATTGTCCTTATACATCCAGATTA